TATTTATTTTTTAATCTCAACTAAGTAACTTAAATAGAATTTGCTGTTTAATTTTGATGTTCGGGATTTGCGTTTGGGGCCAACTGTTGGTTAATAAGTATGTAAAATAAACTGAGTAGCTCATTTAAATGATAATTGGGTGAACATTTCTTCGTAAAGAAACAAGAGGCATATTTTGTTATTGTTACAATACAAACGAAAAACATTGTTTTACCACGGTTGTATAATAAATCGTTAAAGAAATCTTCGAATAAATTACCATTCTGATGTTTGTTTATACGTCATCTTAAACAGTTAGTTGGTTTCAAAGATCGAATCCTGATACTTGAATCTCAAAATTAAAATTAAAAACCTGTTCGATTAGTTGATGTTACAAATAAATTAAGATAGGCTACTTAATAGTAAAATGTTTACTATTAAAACTGAATGAAGATAATTAACCATTCTCACTAATAAATATATCTGGCCAGGGGGTAAAATTCCGGCTCGTACACTCTAGGTTTTTATAATTTGATGTGTTCTAATTAAATTCACAGCAGTGAAAATATACGTTTAATTCAGCGTTTAATCCATCGAACTGATGTCGCGAAACTCAAAAGTTCGCGGCCGGAATTTTACCCCCTGGTTTGTGACGTCACGTTCACCTAGGGGGTAAAATTTTAGGGGGATAAATATCCGCTACCCCTAATGAACATATTAAACTAGTAAAATCTCCAAACAATTTTTTCACACTTACAAAGATAAAAAATGAAATTCAATCAAATAAAATTATAAAATATCAAATAAAATCTACAAAAAACTTGGTTTAAACACTCATATAATATCTAATCCAAAACCCATACCACAAATTAGACGAGTTCTTCGAAGATCAACACTACTTATGATATTAAAGATAGGCCCCAAAACGAACTCACAATATACACCATACACACATACACACCAACATAATCACTGCAATGACACAACAATGTAATTATGATTTCCTAGTCTCTACGACTTCGGAGAAGTGGTAAAATGTAAAAGGTTAACGTCGTAATTTATACATTGTTTTCAACGAATTAAAATAAATTGTTAATGTTTTGTTGTAGTTGTAAATTTAATGCTACATCTTGTTATAATTTGAATTTTATGCTACCGGTATTTGGTTAATGTACTCTCATGTAAAAAAGGTCTTATATAAACAAATGAATAATCAGTAAATATATTTTGACTTTTTTATGAATGTGAATACTGTTTTATAATCAAGGCAGCCAAGTCTACCAAAGCTGTAACCAGTTGTTGCGTCGTCTCGTCTTAAGACCTCTATGGGGTTGTGATTGTCGTTAATCGTCGTCGTCATTCGTTTTCGTTATGTCGTCTGCAACACTGTAACAAATATTGAATAGAATTGTAATGTGGAATTGTGTTTTCAATTAATGTTTTAATGAGATTTTGAATTATCAGTCAATTACTATAGTATAAACTATTATGGGGACCGTACGTGTTGATACAGGTGAATTATCCATTGAAGTTACAGTACATTCTCGTACCTAAATCATTCACCTTGTACCAATTAGAATAGAAGACCTAGAATAAGAAGAGACATTTCCCAACCTATCCCCAACAATTTCTCCTATATCTACCCATCATTTTGTTGGTATACTATTAATTTGTTTCCTAGTATAAGTTAGACTTCTACAAAATGATTCAGATCCAAGCAGATGATGATGGTGTTAATAATTAATTGATGCTTCAAGTTATTTGGGGCGAACTTTGTTAAGTGACCCAAAAAAACACAACTGATTAGATATGCTTTCTAGAGCGGTGTTATATAAATTTGTTATAAAATCTGGGTTTTGGTCCGCTCCCTCGCTTAAAATACTTGAATACTCGGTTTCTTCATCTTTGACCAACAAGGTTGGATACCGTAGATTGCGTCTATTTACATTATTTATTTAAAACATTAAAAACACTATAGGCCTACATACAACTAAGCAACAATGGCGGGTGTGGCGGTATTATTTTCAAATACTAGAGGCTCGTCAAACATTTCTTGCCAGGAGTATAACGGTCGACTGAGCAAACTCTGGCGCAGCGTTGTCTTCTTTCCGCAGCATATTAAAAAGCAAAATAGCAAGCAATAGATAGGAATTCAGAGTGTGACTAAGTCGGCAGCGGGGCAGGTCAAGATCACATCTTAAAAAAAATATAGGCTTTAACTTACTAAACTACGCTTAAAAGTAGGCCTAGGCGTTCGGTGAGGGCTACTCAAAATAAATGTTATAACTTATCTACCTACCGTGAAACTGGCAGCCTAACTTAACAATTTTATCATGCTCTTGTAAGTTTAACGATATGCCTTCTTTTTATGCGATAATGGTGCTAGGGTTCTCATCACATCAACATTCTTAACCAACACAAGTAGACTTCGCATCCCTTTGCATGATTTGATTTGATTGATCCCATTGTAAATTTTGAAGCTCGTTTAGGCTACGTGTCTAGTTCATTTTGGGGCCACTGATCGCTGGTGTTGACAAAATTTTTTTTGTATTATTTTAGGGTTAATTTCATGATTTGTGCTTCACTGATTTGCTATCATAACTAAGTTAGGGTACCTACGAGTTATTGTTTGGTTAGCCTAGATTGTTTTATTTGGTTAAACGAGGTTTTAAATGACTAAAATAACAAGATGGTTTACACAATTAAGGTGAAAATTGGAGAACAATGATTTTGAAGGGACAAAAAGACAGCTATGTTTTTTACCTTACGAAAATATATAAAAATATATGTAAACATTGCTGTAGAGTAGAAGTGGTTTTAAATTAAAAGAGTTCTTTATAGGCTACGGTACCGGTATTGTTGCAAATTTTCAACACTCTTTTAATAGGCCTATCCATTACATTAATGATCATTTCAACCATGATTTTCTCAATTTGATTACTCTTGTGTTATATTTCAATTTAGTAGGTTAATCTATTTAGTGTTGCATAAAGCATAAGTTTCAAAGTTTCAATACTGTAGGCTAATGTTTTATCATCAAAATTATGCCAAAAATCTTTTCAATGTAGAATACCTAAGCACAGAAAAAATACTACAGCATAGCAACGTTGGTGGCGCTGCCTACGAATTGACAGGCTAAGCTCTCTCAAAGTACTTAACGCTTTTTACCATGCGGTTGGCATTCTGGGTTATAGTACCCTAGTATGTTTTCTATGACCTAAGTTAGTAAAGTCCTATAAGCCAGTGGGTGTCTAGTTGTTAGCCTCCTGGACTTAGATGCGGGAGGGACGGTTCAATTCCTGGCATATTTGCAATACTTTTTAGGGGTGTGGATTACTTTCTCTTAAATCGTTTGTGATACTTTAATTGAAAATCCATTGGCCTAGAAACTAACAAAAACAGATAAACAATAAGGCAAAAAGTTTGAAATGTGGTATAACAAGTCAGTCGGTGGCAGTTCAACCCTTGCTTCGCATGTTATGATCGAATAACTGACCAAAAGTCTGTGGAAAGTCAAATGCAAAAAAAAATAAAGACCCCCGATCTTTTTTTTCAAATGTAGAAATTGAGTATTTTTTCAGTTAGCAGTGGTTAGAGCGTGGACTTCGGTCCCTGATGTCCCGGGTTCAAATCCAGCCAAATCATTAATGGATTTTATCTAAGTGATAATGCCGTAACCCCTAGGTCTAGCCTGTAGTAATGGGAAAAAAATTCTGGGCTCGTGCCTATTGTCTTAGGACCAAAAAAAAGAGAGAAAAAACCCTAGGCCTACTAATTTGTCTGTTAAATATTTTCAGTGCCCTTTGTTTCCGTTCCGTGTATCTGAAATTTTTTTCAAAACCGTGTATACAAAACCTACAATGATCTATAATAGCTTGTTAAAACTTGGATGTGTTGCTAGCCTAGCAGTTAGCGTCATAGACTTGGTGCAGGAGGGGCGGGTTCGATTCCCAGCACATACGCAAACTTTATAGTTTTGGACCACTTTCCGTTAAAATTGTTAATACCAAGAAGAGACAGTTTCGTACCTATCCCCAACAATTTGTCCTATATCTACCCATCATTTTTTGGTATGCTATTTATATGTTTCCATGGAATATATTTAGATCAATGCAGATGAGCATGGTGTTAATAATTAATTGATGCTTTAAGTTATTTTGGGGTGAATTTTTTTAAGGTGACCCAAATACCACGGTTTCTAGAGCGGTGTTATATAAATTTGTTATAAAATATAAACTAAGCTATGACTTAAATTAAAAATGCCACTGGAGCAGAAAAAACCTGTGCAGGAGTAAAATGAATCAAATCAGCAGAGTTTAAAAAACACTTAGGCCTGCTTAGAAGATTGTGATATTATCATCATTCTTGGACAATCAGACAGTTTAGACTTTTTTAGCTCAACATCAAAAACATTTAAGTTAGATAAATTTTATATCTAGAAAACAAACACACGTCCTTCTTTTGGATTGTAAAGTTTATATCCCCAACATAAAATTTAAAATGTAATTTAATATATTGGTGACCTTAAATATTATTTTAAAGACATTTCCTTCTTGGCAAAAGGTCTGTGAAGAATATGCTCAATTCAGCTTAAAATATTTGTACAGATTTTGTTATTTTTTGTTAGCCTAAATAAAATACCAGTCTCTAGATACCATAATGAATTGTGTACAAAATAACAAGGTGATTTTAAGCTTAGATCTCATAAAAAAATCTGAATAATTCTCTCAAACCTTAGCTGATGGTATCCACCAAGCAAATGTTAACTCTTGAAAGTTGTTGCAAACTTTAAATTACATAACTTTTAAAATGAGAGTAAAATTTGGCTGTACAGTTTGGCTAAAGTAACACTACTTATTGTGCATCTTGAGCAAGTGTTTCAATTTGTTACTTGATACGACACAGTTTCAATTAATAACTATTGGCAGAGACAAACATCTGTTCTACACCTGCAGTGAAAATTGTTCATCAGGTGATTATTTTAGTTTGAGCACATGATCAAACCGAGTCTAGTGATCATTGTCGGTCCAACTCAATGGCGACTTTTGTATCTTGCTTACAGAGTGTACTATCGCAAAATCCTACAAGAGGGAGGAATTCCAAGAAGCCGCAAATCATTTATGAAACATATTTATTTTAGATTGTGTGAATGTTCGTGCAGTTTTAGTGTTAATTTTTCAATGCAAAAACAAGGGGTTAAGTTGAGTAAACAGCGGTTTGTTAATACTGTTAGTAAATTGAGTGAAATCAGTATAAGTTCTAGTGTGAACACATGTCCAAATTCTCAAGCTAGGCAGCGTTTGGAATTTAATGACAAAGGTTTAACAATTTATTTATTGGTAAAATTTAAATTTACTATTACAGCTTAGGTTATTTCCAGTGATTTTGTAAAAATCATTTGTCTCTCATAATCCAAGGGAATAACCAACTCAACAGCATTGGTTACCAATATTTTTGTACTAGTACCTTTAGTACCCACTTATTGGTTATACCACAGAGAAGTAAGGTACAGAGGAAACGTTCAAGCTTATGCGGCTACCGTGCGCTTTCAGCTCTAGTATGTTGTGCCGGAAATGTACCGTACTTGTGACGAAAGGAAGAGCCCGAGTGGTGAGCACAGTGCGGACAACCCTATCGCACAGGGTCTTCCTTTACTGTGAGTGTTGTAGTTGGCCTGAAATGAGAGCAAGAAGGTGTTACTTTAATGCTTTAATACTTTACAATAAAATGGTGACCATACAAAGTAGGTATTTTAAGCCAAGTATGAATGGAGATGAGTGTAGGATGAGTGACGCGATCTTGTAGTCTTGTTAGTGACTAAGGCCGACTTATTCCTTAGAAACAGCTGTTAATTAATAGCCCCTACAGTTAATGGCAACTAAGGGACCTACAGTTTATAGTGGAATACGAACCACATTTTTGCCTTGGTATATACGAATTGGTCTAATTTTCTGGATAGGACTGCGGATAGTCGTAGTACTCACTCGTGGGGACTTTAATCCACACCAGGGAGTATCGCATCCACAGTGCATGCCTATAAATATACACAATTCGTAACCTCCTAGTAGATGGATTACAGGACAACACCACCCGTCCCAGTGTGATGTTGAACTTTGCCCTAGACACCAGCACTAGTGCTTGACACCATTTAAGTTTACCATTGAGTGTTTCCTCTGTACCTTACTTCTATGTGGATATACAGAGTCTGTTCATGAAGCACTCTGTATTTGTTATGTTTAAAAGAAGTCAACACCTCAATGGTTTATGCTAGGTCTATTCTCAAAGGATGTGAATTTTTTCCAATCTTTGAATACGCTCATATTAAGTCAATGTGTTATTGATACCATGAAGTAGCTTAATTTGATCAGTTATATCTAAATTCGGAAAAGTAGTAGAACCAAGATTTAAATTACCCAACCTAAACCATTGTCTAGATAGCCGAGTGGCAAAGAGTCTAGGGGCCAGAAAATATGTGGATTGTTTTAGAATCATGAAAGCTTGGAAGTCATGAACATAATTTATAATCCTTTACGACAGTTTTTAATTCCTGAAAATTTGAGACTTCATTCAACCTGTTTGTAATTTTTCAGCTGAGTCCCAACTGAATGTCTCGGATAGTGTGAGTACTCGAACAGCTGTTCTCATCATTACTGCTATTTTCCTCAGTTCCATTCTCACACTCACCTACATCTACTTCAGCTTCCCGGAGCTTGAGCCGTGAGTATATTGACAAATTTGTAAATGCTTTGCAGGTTATAATTAGTAATCCTACTTGTCCTATCTTGATCTTGACGAGTGTGGGGTTAGTTAATAGATGAAAACTTAATAATCAACATTAAGACTTCAGGCTTACTTTGAAGAAACAGCTAGTACTAGCTATAAAGTGTCACTACTAATTTTACAACTACCATATTAACTTTTTTTGTTTACCAATGATCAAAAATTAATAATTACTCCTGCAATATGAGGAATAAGTTATGCTTCCCAAAATACTAATTAGTGTTTTTTTATTTGTCACTTTCTACATAAAATAGTATTTCTTGCTAAGCTCAAATGAAAAGTCTTAATCTTCAGAAGTGAAATTTGTAAGCGAATGTGTTTAAAACACAATCGTTTAAACATTCTAAAAATTGAAACAAATCAGCATGAGAGATGGAGTCTTAAACAAATAAAACACCAAAAGGTTTTTTCGTGTTCTAACTGAATTGTATTTTCAGAGAGGAACGCAAGTACATCAAGTTACCGTGGGACGTGGAGGAAGCCAAACAGCTGGGACGAGTGTTGGAGAAACACAAGGACCGTAACTACTACGAGGTCCTTGCTGCCGTCGTCGTCACCTACATATTGTATCCTTCCATTGTGGTTAGTCATTGGTCCGCTGATCTAGTGGTATAGCGTGGGCCTTCAGAGCCTGAGGTCCCGGGTTCAAATCCTTCCAATCACCAATAGATTTTATCTCTATGTGATAATGCCACGACCCTCTAGCACTAGCCTGAAGTAGTGTGTAAAACAGTCCCAGGCTAAAACCTAGCGTCCTAGGTTGTAAAAGTAGGACAAAATATGTGATTAGTCTTTGGGATAGTCGGATTAAGTGATTCTTCATTAGCCCTTTAAGCCCCAAAGCCAATTAATGTGGGTGTTATTTATTTGTAATGCAATAAATAATACTACGTCAACTAATACCCTGGTAATAAATTACTGAGAATTCCCTGAGAATATTTTTGTAACATTGTCTGCAAAGTTAGATCGAGCAAGTGAAATAACGCTGTTTTTGTCTTCCCATTAATGGTGAGCAACGCAACTTTGGTAATATGACTAGCGTCGTCTGTACTGTTGGAACGAGCGAGTGAAATAACGCAGATCCTGTCTTCCTATTAATTATGACCATCTGTAACGTCCTTGACGTTAGGAACGTTCATGATGATATTATTGCATTTTTAGTGGTTTTTACCATCTCTAATTCTTATGTCTAAGCTATTTAGGATAAATGGGATGTATGGGAATGTCTTGCTATTCACCTAAGAAATTCCTTATTCAGGATTGAATAGAAAATAACAAAGCATCCCAAAATTGGTTAAATATATGGACTGATTGTTGGTTATGCATGAGTGCAGTTTGTACAGGCTAACTAATGTTATTAAGGTGTTAAAAAAACTTAACATTAAAAAAAAGAGATTTTTTTTCTCTTTTTCTCTTCTACTCGTCCGCATGAGTCTTAAAAGCCTGTGCATGGAATGTGTCAAACAACTTTAAATAGTGAGTCGGTAGCTCAGTCGGTAGCGTCACGGACTTCGGGCCCAAGGCAGCGATGTTGTGGGCTCGAAGCCTGGTCGCTGTACTATACCAGCTCACCCCTTGCTTTGCTGGATACAATCCACGCACAGGCAGTTAGTCTATGTGGACGGGCAAATTCAAGTATAAAAGAGGCTGCCAACCTCTTAAAAAATGTAAGGGGTGAGCCAATGCTGTACAAGATTAAACTGTACTAATAAAATTTAAATGGCTCAGGAGGTGAACCTGAGATATCTCAGCCTCAGTTCCACAGATCGTTGCACCATCGAGTGAGCCACTGACTTACTACAACTCTGGTTAGTTTGTTTAATTTAGGTTTGTTGTGCCAAGCTTAAAACTGAAATATTTTGGACTAGTGTTCTTCCTTAACTCCACTATCAGCCTACAGACGTTTGCAATCCCAGGATCGATATCACTGTCTATCTTGTCAGGATTTCTGTTCCCGTTCCCCTTGGCGTTGACGCTGGTTTGCTTCTGTTCCGCAACAGGCGCTAGCTTCTGTTATCTCCTCTCACACTTGGCCGGCCGACGTCTAGTCTACAAGTACTTTCCCGACCGGGCCGTCCAATACTCACAAACTGTAAGTGATTGTACAACTGTCACGGAACATCATTAGTTTTGAGTAATTTTTCATTTGCTGCAATACTAGTTTTTGACAAATTATTAGAATTGTTTATAAAAGATTAGTTTTATGTACGTAGCTGTGTTTCCATATGACTCAAAATAAAATTCTTTTTCCGGACAAGGAAAACATATTTTATCCCCCTTTAACAAAATGAAAATCTCAATCCATCCCATTTGAATTTTCCCTGTACACAGTATAAAAAAAAAACATTATGCCCCAGAGCTTAACATCTTTGGTCAATTACACCTCAGTTGTTTTTCCACAAACGTTTTAACGTTAAACAAGTTTTTACTAAGTTTTACCTACAGTATTTAAAACTATTTGGTACAGTTTTAAAGCAGCTTATAAGATAAAAAAAAACCCCATACCAACATCAACACTACCTAACATATTTTCTTTGGCTTTCTTTTTAAATTCTTCAAAAGAAACTGTTGATTCCCATCCATCCAATTTTGGGGGTGGCCTCCCTAAGTTAATCAATAACTTTGTTTGTTTAGGTTCAAAAGCACCGACGGAACATCTTCAACTATATTTTGTTCCTAAGGATCACTCCGTTCTTGCCAAACTGGTTCATCAACATCGCCGCACCCATTGTCAATGTGCCAATCTTACCTTTCTGGTTTGGCACATTCTTGGGTAAGTGTAAATGATATTATAATCAATAAAAGTTTCTACTTTTTAACAAATTTCCCAAATAGCGAATAAGCTATTGTCTTATTTTAGTCTTCATTTTATCAAATATTAAACTTTCAAGATTCAAGATCTTTATTTGTCATTAAGTAATACAAGTATTACAATAGACATAATGTAAGCATATAAGTATAGCCTATTTTGACTTGTGTTTAGGCTTGTTTTGTTTTGCCTAAAAAATATGCTGTTTATGTAATAGCTGAATTTTCTTGACTTTTGTCTATTGCATTTGTTGTAAATGTTGAAGGATAATAAAACGTTTCTGATTCCTGATTTCTGTCTCAATATTCTTGTTTGTTTTAACTTGTGTTATGTAACCTAACCTTATACATGTGTTGAGTAGGTGTAGCTCATCCGTCATTTGTTGCTATCCAGGCAGCAGCTGATGTCTATGTCTGGTACTTGGTCCTGGACATCTGTCACATGGCTGTCTTCTCTCTACTCTCTACTGTACACCTAACCTAACCTAGCCTTATGCGTGTGTTGTGTAGGTGTGGCTCCTCAGTCGTTTGTTGCTATCCAGGCAGGTCAGACCCTGCAGCAGCTGACGTCTAAGTCTGGTACTTGGTCCTGGACATCTGTTACATGGCTGGCTGTCTTCTCTCTGCTCTCTACTGTACACATAAACTAACCTAACCTTATACTTGTGTTGTGTAGGTGTGGCGCCTCCGTCGTTTGTTGCTATCCAGGCAGGTCAGACCCTGCAGCAGCTGACGTCTATGTCTGGTACTTGGTCCTGGACATCTGTCACATGGCTGGCTGTCTTCTCTCTGCTCTCTCTACTGCCCGTTCTACTGCGCGACCGTCTACGAACCAAGTTTGACTAGGTCTTTGTCTATCAATATATCTGTGATACTCCCATCTGTCTGGCTTACTAACCTGTCTTGCCTTTTTTTAGTGGTTTAAAAAAATTAAACATCCCAATAACATTGGATGTAACAACCACTTACAGAAACCAAGTACTACACCTTTATGATAATTTTAACGGTCTAAAAATTTCCTTTTTTTACTAATCACTTATCCATTAGAAGTACACATCATTTTACAGGATTGCATAAGAGATGAGCCAAACCGACAATATGAATTCAAATCAATGTAAATCTGTATGTTTAATTTTTAATATAGGCCTATTACTAAACAGCTCACTCAATCATTTGGGCATACAATTTTGTGAAATCTTTTTTCATACATGTCTGTCCTATCTACGGATCTCCCCTACCAAGGTTTTAAAGTTACCATGTTTAGCTTACAAGAATTTTTATTTTTATTTTTTATTAGTTACATATAAATGACTTTTATATCTTATATTCAAGCAGTAATGAAAAAATACAAGTTAATATAGTTAATTAAATGTATCCTACAGGATAGCAACCTTGCCACATTTAGGCCTACATCTTTAATATCCATCCTTTTCTACTACTCTTGATCTGCAATGTTTATGTAACTGACAAAAGTTATTTTATGTTAGCTTTATTCTTAAAAATATTTCTGCATGACGGTGAGGTTGTTATCAGATGTACGAATGAAGTTTCAATTTGCATTGGTGTCAAGGGAAAGTGCATGTTTAATGTTTGGATTCCTGAGAATGGCTTTCCTGCCTGCATAGAGTTACTGAAAATAACTTCATAAAACTAAAACATCAGGTAATGTGTTCAGTAAGAAAAGCAACGTTGTTTTTAGGATTAAGATCCTTGATAAAATTAAAGAATTGCTTTATCCAACCACAGTTGTTTGTATGACAACTAGTTTCATTCCTTAAAGCTTCATCAGGTCATTGTATGCAACCACATGACCTGATAAAGTTCGAAGAATGAAACTAGTTGGCGTACCAACAACTGTGGTTGGATTAGGTAATCTTTTTATTTTATCAATAACATATTCCAACCAAGGGTCACGGTGAATAATATTAAGATCCTGGCAAGAGAAACTATTCTACATAAAGCTAAAGTTTATAAAGAGAACTTAAGATTTGAACTCAACTCATTGAATTAATTATTAAGTCGACAAATCATAGTAGGTATTGAAACAAATTAAAACTACAAACTTGTTTACATTTTATAACCAATTAACCTTACAAAGATTTCAAAATATTTAGTGTATTGTCATAATAACATTTTGATAACGAGTTCTCTTGTATCCCCTTGTGCCAAGTATCACTTTAACAGTTATTCAATGAGTCGCGCAGAGCAAGGGGTGATAGGGAGTGCCAAAATAGCATTTTGCACCTGTTACAATTTACCCTCAGGCTAGGCCTGATTCTCGCTCTTAAACTGCAGACAAGTGATGTTTTTCTCCTCAACAAGGACATAACAAATTTAAAATCAAAAGGAAAATTAATTTCTAAAAATCAGAGAATTGTTATCAATATAGGGTTATTAAAAACAAATTGTGCAAAACTAAATGGTTGGTACGTCCGCTTTTCAAACAGCTGATTCACAAGTTTGTTTTAACAAGGGTCTCATCTTGCAATTCAAAACAACTGGATTTTTTTGTGCTGGGAAGAGTTCGGGCTGTCCTCAGACTCCGCCAGATGCAGTGGAGAGCTAGTAGCTAAGTGGTAGCTAAGTTTTCCCAAGTTTTGTGGAGTCCAAAAATCTCGACAGTCAAAGCTGGTAGGAAACTTCACATAAAGCAGTCCACGGTTTTACGCAAGCGTTTGATACAAAACTCGTAAAAACTACAGTTATTACAAGTATTGAAGCTTACTGACAAGCCAAAGCGCTCAGATTTTTGCCATGATAGGTTCGTTTTTTGTTTATATTCTTTGATTTCTTTGACAGGCTTCGTGGTACTCAACTAAGCTACTGAGATAAAACATAACCTTGTCAAAAAAATCTTATAAACAGAAACACACCCTTTCCATTGGTGCCAATTGCCAAATCAGCTATTTGAAATCACGGAAATCACTTACCAACCGTTTAGCTTTGCACAATTATTTTGAATAACCCTGTATTTTAATAAATTACATGAGTTATACTTGTAAGTTAGATTATCAGAAACAAATCCCTTAGTAGACTAGTGTCTTTTTTAAAGCAAATAATTTATCCAGAAAACTTACACTTACTGACAACTAAATCTATATGCTAAAAACGGTTAAACATGATACTTAGCCCATTTAAATTGTTTTCTGAGACTCTTCTTTTAAATTCTACACCTGTTAACTTTTTCAATTTGAAACCGTTACACAAACAGAAACAGCATTTTTTTTAACCAACAAAGTAAACACCACCATTGTTACTTTGTGATTGGTTGGTTTAGATTTTTTTTATGTCACACCTTCACATCCTAGGACGCTAGTTCTAGCCTGGAACTGTTTTGTGCATTACTTCAGGCTAGTCCTAGTGGGTTGCGGCATTATTACATAGGTAAATCCATTGGTGGTTGGCAGGATTTGAAGATCTAGTTCGGCCAGATCAGCTCGCTCCAGTGTTAGTTTAGATTAGAGTTCTACAAATTGACATTAGATTTTTATGATACTAGACTTGTTCTCACTCAACTACAATTCTACGTTCGCTCAACTCAGACATTAGAAGTAAAATACAGGTAAGCCGGTATGTAACTTAGGAGGATTTGAACTGTGTGGTATGCAGCGTGTTAAAGCAATTAGAAAGTGAAGTTTTTTAATTTGGCGGATTTTTACACCAGTAGCATTTTTTACGTTTTGAAAGGGAACGGTCCAAAAGTTGCCTGAAGCCTAGCGCATATTTTCTATGTCATGACAGGGGTGGCAGAGGGGTTGTCTCGTTACATCCAATATAGTCATACTACACTAATATATTGGATGTAACAGTACGCAGACGACGTTGGGTACGCAGACGACGTTGGGTACGCAGACGACGTTGGGTACGCAGACGACGTTGCAGCTTATAATAGCTACACGTAGCATGAGCTGGCTCAGCCGAGTTATGCATACCATAAACACATGGATGGCAGACCACGGTCTCTCACTCGCAAAACCGAGATCCGAGATGTACAGTTCTGCTCAGGCTTTCGGTTGACCAGTGTTGTCATGCGGTAGACTGGTCTGACCAATGGCCGAGCAATCCAAGATATTGTCTATTGAGAGAGGAAACAGTAGCATAGATTGAGCGTTTGAATCTCATCCTGGTCAGATCTCATGAGTTCACTCGTTTATGAGCTCTGTAGAGAGTAGAGACCAACACAAAATTAACAGTGTATGGCTTTGAATTCTATGTGATCTTAGCGTTAAATCAGGCATTTTGAAATTGTTTTGCTTTTCTCCTTTATGCAGAGGTAAGAAAATAAGCAAGGGTCTAAAATACACTTCTGGTCCTTAGGTTTAACAAATTTGTTGTGATATTGCACAATTTTTAAGCTAATAAAATTGGAATCACAAAACATCAATTTTATAAATTATTTACGTTTTTTAAGCCGTCATAATGACTTCCTTCTTGTTTTGCTTATAACAGTTGTATGTGTTATTTGGATGTAACCCATATTAATCTGCCAACACAAAATTTGCAATTACTAGAATTCTTTTTCATTTCAGAGTTTGTTTAAATGTACATATTAGAGTAGTGTAAAATGACTCTATGATAAACAAAATTAAATTGTTATAATGACATGATAAAATTTGTGTAAATCGGGAAATTTACTTCAATCAATATCACAAAATTAGCAAAAGAATTTATATGTATTAAATGTACAGCTTATGTCGTCAACTCCACCTGATTTGTTTTCCCTAGGGAGAAAAAGAGCAATGCATGTAAAAAGCCTTGCAATGCATGTATTGAAAACAGCTGTTTTGGATCCAATATGACAAAAAAAAAATTTGAATGGTTTTGATTGTTGTGTCTATAATGTAGGTAAATAAGAATGTAAGAATATGCATAGTTAATTTACTGACTAATCCATAGAGTCGATTAATCTTCACAACAAATATCAGTTTTATAAGCTACCGGCTACCGGTATTAGTTTTGTTATCCTTTGGGCACAGGGGTTGCAATCCCGCCTCCCCCCCCTTTGGACACCTTTGGGAGGGGGGATTGCAATCCCTTAGCTATCTAAAGTTTGATTGGAAGTGTTACGGCACATACTGAGTGTGACAGGTTATGTTATGTTCACCCAGGAAGAGTGCCCCTTAGACGACTGGCAGCAGTCTGCTCGTGGTAGTCATGTGATCGATGAACTAGTCTTTGTCCGTCTTCACTCTACCCAAGAAACTCTTCTGCTCAAGATCAGAAGACACACTCTTCTCATCCAACAAGAAGGCACGGTCCAGGAAATCCTCTCTTAACAGAATACTTCTCCATTACAAACTGTGATATTCATTTTTAATTGTTTTAAACTTATTCCTTGCAATATAGTGGGTTAGGGTCAACGCAGGGAAAAGTCTAATTCGTAGAAAATATTTTTATAAACTCTTTTTGGAGTTTCTTGTTGAGTTTGAGAATTTATTTTTGTTATGTTTGTTTGTTCTTCCTTCTCGTTTGCTATCTAGGCTAACAAATTAACATGTAACTTGTGTGGTAATTGAATTTTACTAATCGTAATGAAAACATTGCATTTCTTAAATCATTCCAAAAATAGTATAGTTTGAGAATTTAACCAGTGTGCATTTAATCTGTAGGAATTCATTTGCATGTTTTTTAACTTCAATTTCTCAATTTCCACAGTGTTACATGTGCCAATAAAACCTTTTCGTCATGCTAATAGTTGTGATAGAGTGCCTGATCTAGGTATACTTTAAGCACAGAGACGATGTTGTGTGGGCCTAGTTTCAAACATTCTTACAATGCTTTTCTCACACTTGTAGTTAGTTCTAGATTTTTAAAATCTACTGTAACAAACTTTTGAGCAGATTGTTGCTAGGAACAAATTTTAGTTTTTTCAATTGTAGTTTAAGGTATTTGTGTGCATATTTCATTGAAAAAAAAGATTGATGCTCTTTAAAAAGCATGCTTTTTACTTTAGTGTTTAAGATTACATTTTATTGGGTAGTGATACTTCCCATACATAAAATATTTCTATAAAAGCGATTGGCTTGCATTTTGCTTTGTAAAGATATCTATATATTTAAATCCGTAAGCGAATCGGTCCCCCCGAAATATCTCGAGCTAGGATAAAGTTAGCATAACTGTCAAGGATTTATTTTAAAGTTTAAGGTCCAAGGACGGTGGGAAAAACATCAGAAGTGTCCAAAATTGCCCCTGCTCTGCCCCACAGGCCGTCAGATCCAGTAATTGTCTAATGGAAGTACTGCTACAGTGTTTCAAGCTGTTTTAAATATACCAGCTGATGTAAACATTGCATATTTTTTTTTTCATTGATTTTTATTTGTGTTCTGTTTGTAGGTTAGAATGGTAATGCAGTGTTGAAATGTATCATGTTAGGGGAAGACCACGACTACGAAGGAGGGTATTTAGGAATGGTGCACAGCATAGGGAATGGTTAAGGACAAATTACAACGAATGTGATGGGCAGCAATTGCTGCTATGAGCCTCTAGTTTTTTATAGTATATTTCAAACTAGCTGGCCCGACAGACGTCGTCCTGTCCTAATGTGGTTTTATGTTAAATGCTCGTTCATTTTCAAGATGAGCTCGTTCGCATGGCTCAATCACGTCCTGGTTGAAGTTTGTTCGCTACGCTCACTCACCTTTAGCTTGGAGCTCGTTCGCTGCGCTCACTTGCCTTCAGGTTAGCTCGTTCACTACGCTAACTCGCATCCAAGTTGAAATTCGTTCGCTACGCTCACTCACCTTTTGGTTGCAAATTAGCTGTTGTCATGAATTTAAAAAGAATAATAGTGCTGCACCCTGTTGGGAAACATATAAACTTTTTAATACTATTGAGGATCAACTACCAATCATATTGAGGATCAACTACCAATCATATTGAGAATCAAACTACTATCACAGAATCAAATTGTTTAGTTGAACCAGCTGTTAAGATTCTTTAATTCCATTTAAATATGAGTACTCATAAGGTTAACATGGGAAACTCCAGAGCCACTGGTGCGGAGCCCTTTTGACGGATCTGCACCAAACTTCACACAAACCATCCTTGAATAATGCTTAATAATGCCTGAAAGTTTCATTACAATCTGTCGAGAGGTTTCGGAGTCCATAAAGGACAAACAAACAAACAAACATACATACATTGGATTTTATATATATAGATCAAATCCTATGTTGATCAAATCAAACAGTCTTTTGTTAGCTTGTTGTTGAATTAATTTTGTTGTCCAATTTAAAAATTATATTTTTGTCATTGCATTGAATAGAGTTTATTGATAGCTATTTTAAAATTTGTTTTGACTAAAAAGAGCCGAATATTTTTTACCAAAGACACTTTTACTTCTTACCATATTTATTTAAGATGCATAATTGTGTTAGTTTATAAAATTAAATTGCAATCACAAAAATATGTTTTAAAAGCCAAACTTGTTATAGTTTCTGTTTGACTCTTTGCTGTGATTGGTGGGTAATAATTGCAAAAACTAAAAACATGGGAGCTTTGTTTTTTTATTGAAACCCCATATGTTATTAAAAAATAAATTCATAAATGTGTACAGATTATAATAGTATATAGGGCCTAAAGTGACTCTTTTTGACCTGAGGTCAAGTTTTACGATCGAGGCCCAGCCGAGGTCGGAAAATGAGTAAGGGTTAAAAAGTCACTTTTTAATTGTGTGGTGAACTATATTTTCATCATATTGCATCATTAATTAACAAAACAAAGCTAGAAAACAAAATCATTTTTATGTAAAGATAACCTCTCGTGACAATCTTTAAACTCAGTTGAATATGCACACAATTAGTATTTAATAGCAATAATTTGATGTGTATTTGTGCTTTTATCGGAAATGAAACTATGTTATCTGGTGCTGTTTTAGTGTTTAAATAAGTTAAGTAATACAGGTTTTTTGTAAATGCTTGGTTTGCACATGAACACACACAAACTATCTTCCTCTTGAAATTCTCTGTAGGAAATCTTATGTTTCTAAGCTGTATCAATTATCAATTCGAGAAGGTGCGTTTTTAACCCAAATATGAGTGAAAACTGAGTGTAGAATGGTGTGAGATGATCTGTGTAGCTTTGTTACTGACTAATATCAGCTGTTTCATTAGCCAGGATCATTTATGTAAATCCCATTTATCAGGAACAGCTGGGTCCAGTTTCGGACCATAAAAAAGCTACTGGCTTTTCTCGGGATCGAACTGGCGACATTTACCCAAAAGTCAGGCAAACACTTAAACCATTCAGCTTAGCCATATACTTAGTCTTTCAGGACAAATTGTCTTATGTAAAATCTATTGGACAGATGTAAAAATCGGTAGATAGGTCTATATGAATGACTAGTTGCTTTATAATTGCATATCTATCATTGGTTTAAAGTTTATTTTATCATTAAGTTTTTTGTTATTTTTGATAGTCGAAATAAGTACTATCTCAATATCAGTCTGTCTGTGTGTCAGGGACTCCAAGGTGGCAAATATGCTGCCTTCTACAGGTCACTAGAGCACCGATCAAGATTAAACTATTTTACTATATTCACTAAACTGTTGAGAATATCTTTGGTTATTAGACCTGTAACTTATTTCTAAAAAGAAATTAGTCCCTTTACAGAAAAGACAGAAAAATACTACTAGCTGTGTGCTAAAATCAATCATAATATTGCTTTATTGTACCCTTTGTCTTTATTTTATACAAATTTTAAACTCCATTTACGTGCCCCCACCGACTTGACAACCGATTTTAATGCAATCGTTTAAGGGTCAGAAGAATTACATGTGCAAATCAAGTATCACATTTGTAGCATTATGTCATAATTTTATGTTTAAATGCTTCGTATTTATTTAGTTTCATTTGTGTAAATGGATGGTGTGCATGAAGCATGGATATTCTAGGTATTATAGGTACAGGGTAAGAGGAAAGGGCGGTTGTGGAGGTATTATTAGTAATAGGCCTACTTTATAGATATAAGATATATTCGTCATCAGTTGATTCTAATACACCAATACAGAAGTAATTTCACATAGATTGAATTAAACTTTCAGATCATAAGGTACAGTAATCTTATTTTTATATTTTATTCATCAATTTCAAGGAGTTTTCTCTTTACAAAAAATCAATTGGGTACATAGTTACCTTGAAATGTGTTCAGATTGTTAACACAATGTTTCCTAACTATAGTAGAGTAGTTATTAAGTTTAAAAGATTCTTATCTAATATTTGTTCTAGTTATTTCAGTATTCAATAAGTTTTTAGAATGTAAAATAGCATTTCAAGTTATAAATTACTGTATTGTAAAAGTAGTTCTTGATACTTTTTCTCAGTAATTCATGGTAAATCTTTTATAATCGTACCTCTTACATGAATGTTGTTAACTCTTTGTATATAGATATATGTAGTAGGTAGTCTCTTTATTTTTTAATATGCCAGGCCTATTGGTGCCTTTATGTGCCAAACACTATTTTCCTCTCATATAATTCTTCCGACACTTTAGTAGAGTACAAAAAGTAACTACAGTTGTTCAACCAGTCATGAAATCTTTTATTTGTCAGAACTATAGACAGAATGTTTGATTACGAGTCCACTGTACCCTTTATTCAATTTAATAAACTAAAATATGACTTGTATTGTTTTTCTGTGTGTATTTATCATATATTTTTTAGAAGTTTTTCTGACGTATTGATTACTAACCTTCCTAAAATAGTAAAATGTGCATTTAGGGATAATAATAATGTTTAAAGCTAAATTTTATTTCTTTTAGTCATAGAAATGAGGCCTACATCTTAAATCATTGGCTAGTCCCAATATACACAGGGGGTACAGTTGTTGTACTGTTGTATTTGTTACTTCACATTAAATGTCATATTAAAAGCTCACTTCTGTGTAAAAATATGTTACGTTTCTTTACCAATTTATTTGTTTTATGGTAACTGTAGGAAAAATATAATGTGCAACTCGAGTGCAAAGTGCAATTGCCTCACTAGTTGCACAAATAACTATTGTATTGGTCATAATTTTAAGTTTTTCTCATCAAAAGCACTTGTTCACTAGACATTTATTTACCAACGTAAAGTCATCGACCTATTATTGTGTTTTTGCTTGATTTAATTGTGTAATAAATTATCCTTGCATATTAAATATAAACTTAACATTTAGCAAGTTATTGAAGTCGTAATCTGTTGTCTCTATGTTTTCTACTGACGTTCTATTCTGATAATAAAAAATACATCTTGAATTGCTGTATCAATGTTTTCTGTTTTTAATTTCAAATTCAAACCTAAAGACCCTCAACGTATTAAGTGAATATAATTATAAAATATTTGTTTTAGCAAATTTCCCATATAGGGAATAAGCTGTTACCGTAGGTCTCATGGTAAGACTAATGGCTCTAGAAGCCAATAACACCATCCGTTCAAATTCATATATATATATACGTGTGTGTGTGTCTGTTAGCACGATAAATCGAGCAAAAATTATCTGATTTCGATGAAATTTTGTAAAAAAGTGTAAGCCTACGTTTTGTCAAACGAGTTCGCGAACCAGCATGATCGAACCATGGGAACGCGGTTTTATGGGGTCATTTATGTTGTAAAAATTGGTTTTTCTCGTATTTGACCCTCAAAACTTCAAATTTTCCAAATTTTCTCTAGACCATTTTGAAGAGCAAATAATTTAGTACATCGAAGTGTTTCTATATGATTATTGGTTATGAAGAAAATTGTAAATTAAAAATTCCCATGTTATTCTTATGGAGAATAAGTAAACTGTTTGTTGTAGTTTGCTTGTTGGATATATTTGGATTAAACCTGGCAAATCTATTTTTTTATACTAAGCTATTAATATTTTACTAAAAAACTCACTTTATTACCCTCCATGTAGGTGGCAAACCTAGGTACTCGTTAAACCTAATGTTATTGAATAGATTTAATTGAAAATCAAATCAGGCAATTGGAAATTCGCAGGTTTGCTGCGGCGGGGGTATTTGTTTTTACTTTCTCCCTCTTTACGTAGTAATATGGAAAAAGAATTTTTTGTCAAATTGTCCAGTTTGAGTTTTGGGTAGATATATCCGATTTGGTTTCCCCTGAACCTATAAAAGTGAATTCAAAGTGATGTCTGTATGTGTGGATGTGTACACAGCTACAGACCAGACCTGTGGTCCAAATTTGATGAAATTTGGTATGTCACTAATCTATGGTATCTCCAGGCAATATTTTTAGAATTTTGTTTTTTAATATTTAATGGTAATTTTTCCATAAAAACATTAAGTCAAATAAAAATTGGATTAAAAATGGGCTTAAACGATTTTTGTTATGATTTATTATCTTATAGTTTCTTTTTAACTCCAAACAAAACCGTACAACTCTCATTGTTGTAAAAATTATGATTCAAAAGTTATTGCATTTTTTTAAATTCCTATAAAATATCATAGCTACTCTCACTGCTTACCCATGATAAGGGTTGTTGACAAGCTAATGAGAGAGATTATGAGTCAGATTACTGATACTGCTGATTGTATTTGTTTGCCCAGAGTGGTAAGAACTTTAAATTCATAGTCAAGCCACCTTACTTTGCAACTGTTTTTAATACTAATCCTCATGTACCAGGGATTTATATTAAACTAGACACCATGCTGTAAGACATCTTCAGGGAGTGTGACATGTTTTTTTTACACTCCAACGTATTGGACATTCTTTAACATTGTACACGTCCACAATGAGTGTTTAACGTGCGTCCATGACCTTACGCATCTTAGTTAGGATTCCGCACCACGCACCACAAAATCAGTGTACATAGTACCTCATTATACTTCAGTGTTACCTCCGTTCTTTTCTAAAAAAAATCTGCGAAGGTTTTAAAAATAATTCTGAAACTAAAGTAAAATTGTATTATTTATTTATTTCTCACAAATATCTCACAGAGTATTTATTTACATACTGTACAATTTTACTGCCTTAATGTATAATGTTGGAAAACAATTGTTTATTTTTGAAGCATTTTTTAATGTAATTTTTCAAGATGGGTATCCTCCGGATTAACATGATATAGGATAAGTAGTTTAAAATACCTGTACCAGTAATCCAATTAGTTGCTGTTGCAACTAGTTTCGTACAGTCTACACGTAAACTACTGCCTGACGTCGTTAAAAAACTCTAGTCATGCGTGTTGTGTTTTCGTTGTTTTTAAATATATGTGAAATAAGATGACCTGAAGAAGAAGCAATCCTGTTCTCGTAACACCAGATGATGGCGCCGTTGTGAGCCGAAACTAGTTGCCACAGAAACCAATTTGATTAAGGATATAATACAGATATTTTAAACCACTTATAGTATTTTTTAATAGTATAAATTTGTCATCAAGGAATAAGTGATTAGAAATAGTGATTCCCCTAAAATTATATTTCTTACTAGTAGATTATTTGTATAGCTTCTTAACTTTATTATCAGGTAACTATAAGGTAAGATTTAGGTAACTTTATAATGGTCACAATAACGGACCTAATTAGTTTCTTTTTCGTCTTTTGATTTGTGTTCAATTCATTTAGTATGGCACTAGAATTGATTAATATACATATAATATAAATATGTAACCAATTTCTTTGTTAAAATTACATTGTTTAACCTTTTCATACATACTTTACTTTTGTTGTGTCTCTAGGTTAAAAATATCACATTTTTCACAATAACTCAAATAAAAATAATTAAATAAGTTTATACGAATGCAAAATTTAAATACTTTTCAATTTGACCTTAATGCATTGGTATTTCTACAATGAAAGATTCAGGGTTAAAAGCTATCTATGGTAGAAAAACGGATGCCCCGGCCTTATACTTGCTAGGAGATGTGGAAGTAGATTGTTCTTGACTCTGTCTTGTTGGTTCATAAGAACAAGTCGTTCATGTGGAATCAGATTAAAGAACAACTCCCCTTTGCTGAATAGGTAACTCACGTATTGGGCAGCTTCAGGGCCAGTGATCAGGAGAGGATCATATGTCACCTCTGAAACATAGGTTTTTGATTCATTAAATTTGTTTTGGAAATATACAACCAGACAAAAGAATGAATTCTGCGAAGTGGTTCTAGAGCGTGCTCAGTGTTCGTAAATTTGCTGCCGTCTTCGACTCACCGTCTGCTACCAGCGCTACCACCCTTGAAAACGAAATGCTACCAACCTATCAGACCCACTTTTCAATATGTGTAAAGTACAAAATTCAGAAATCCCGTGATATTAATGGAAAAGTCCAATTTTTTTTAATTTCCCAGAAATTTTTAAAACACAGAAAAATAACGGAACAAACTCCCACCACCCGGATTCTGGGGAATTCTCCAGAAGTTAGCAACCCTGGCTCCAACTACTAACTTGTACTGATAACACTTGCCAGCGCTTGACGGTGCAGCATGCAGTGTGCGCCGAAACTACACAGCACTCCTAGTGGAATATTTGCTAACCGCAGCACTGCTGTCGGTCTATATTTAATTCTTTTGTCTATGATACAACCTAGCTAAGGGAAAATCATTTTGGATCTTTAGCAATCATAACTTAAAAATAATCTTGTAGTCTCACAAATATGGATAATCAATGTTCTTTGACAGACAAATTTAAAAAATCTAAAATCTTGTAAAAACAAAATCTGTAGGTTTATTAATTTTAGATTTACTATACATATATTTGCTCATCTCTGGTTTATTTTGTGTTTCAATTACCATTGGCATCAACATATTTTTTCCAATGCATGGAAATTATCACATTGCCACACCTGTAAACAGTACGTAAAATAGCTTGTTTCCGCTCTAGAGCGGGAATGCCCAATTCCTGCACACTAAATTAGCTAATTTTACAGTTTAAGTTGTTTGTGGCTCAAATATGAGTGTTGCGCAACATTTTTCATCTACAATTAATTTATCATAGCTACTTCTTTTTATTGGTTTTTGTTGAGCATTTTCACACAACTTGCTCATCTGCTTCTACTCAAGTTTGGTTAAGTTGTTCCACTCTGAATTTCCTTATCTAAGTGTCTACTGGCTGTTTCATGGTGTGGTTCAATACTCTCTTACACTTTGTTCAATAACTCACCAGTAGTGTGCTGGGATAGACCCATCAGTGCAGGATTCATGTACTCGCCAGTGGGGAGGTAAGGTTCGGGCGGAGGTATCCGTGGTAGACCTGGCCCCACCGCAGGGAAAAATCGCCCTTGGTTTTGCTGTGGGGGAATCAGCTGCTCTCTCTGGTATACTGGTGGGGGTCCATACTCCTCTGAAACCAAAGACGTTTCATAAATCTCTATATTTAATACAATAATGGTTTTCTCTTACATCCCTTTTTAGCCGTCCACCTCAAACAATTTAGGATTGAAGTGTCATTTGTAAGCTTATGATCTAGCAGAGAGATGAATGGTAACGATAGAGAAATTCTTTCAAAATTCACTGCCCTACGTCTGATATGTATATTAATGGAAAGTATTTTGTAAACTACATGTTTTGTGGCAAGTGTAACGTTTGATGTTTTGTGGCTGATGTCTTAACTGTATAAAGTCTTCTGGTATCTTCAGGTTTATTCTTTACTTTATTCTAAAATGGCTACCAAACAAATGTAGATATTTTAAGCCGAATCCGAATACGAATGGTGATGAGTGTAAGATGAGTGAGGCGAACTTGTAGTCTTGTTAGTAACTTAGGCCAACATGTTCCTTAGACATTCTTTTCTAGCAACTGGATATTGTATTGTCAGCCTGACCAAACCTGTGCACATATTGAGACGTTGATCGAACTAATTTGTGGTCTTATTTTAAATGTATCTTTGTCAACATGTGTGTCCAATTTTGAATTTTATGACGTACAGTACTGTAGAAGAAGATCAACCGGAAGACGTGGCCGTCACCACGAAACATGCAGTTTAGCCAGACAAACAAGGATATTGTATTTCATCCCCTAATCCTGGTTAGTGTCAAACTCAGATGATAATTTTTTTTAATCTATGTTTAAATGGAGTTTGGATTTTTCTGGCAACATTGTGTTATGGGCTGCAAGAAAATTGATGTAATATTGATACTATTAGTGCAGAAATACTGGACCTAGACCAAAAAGGATCTTTTTTTATTTGTCCCACAACTGCACCTTGCCCGACTGGCTCTGAATAGAGCTAAGTGGAGAGAGTCACACCTGTTCTTGCTCCTCACTATTTCTAGAGATTGGAGAATGATGGTCCTCCCTTCCTTTTGTCCCACACAACTCTCTAAAATGCAGGTTTCTGATAAGGCAAAATGTTGAGAGCCGACGAGACTAAAGTAAAAGGTAAAATGGGAGAAACATAATCCTTTCTTCTCTAGAAACACAACGGAGCAAGGCATTGGATGAGCACTTTCTTTAGAGCTGGCTCAGAGGGGAAGAGGTCAAGAAAATGGTGACTCTCACCACTTTTCCTGTACAGAAACAATCAGGTGGTACTTATGGGATGGATAAATAAGTACTGGTAGGTGTGGGTCATAAAAAGATAGACTCTCCTTTTTTTTTGCCCCAGAACCTACTACTTGCCCCTTCTATTTTAGGTGTTATAGCTAGTCCTCTATGGTTTTATTTCTGGAGGCTAGTATAAATTATCTAAAGTCATCTCCTGTTGATCAGTTGTCTTGGTTAGTTGTTGTTGACAATGGAAGTTCCAAAGCCTACATTATGTGATTTTCCTGTAAGTCATAGTTCGATAGTTCAAGTTATTTGTGATGAGATGTTTTCCTTTCTATAATCATTTTAGTAATTTTGTATAGTGTGCAATATAAAAGAATGGTTGTAGCTCACTTGGGCACCTATACTATCAAAGCAAAGTTGGCTTTACTCCGGTCAAACTGTCATACTACGCAATAGTCTTTAATCCTTTCAAACTGACTTAGAAAGAAAAGAATTTCCCTTAAAAGTTATCTTTACCATTTTAAATAAATAGCACATGAACAAACGCTAACGAAGGAAGGATTGCACGTGCCAGACCCTGTTTTTACACATTCTTACTTGGCCCAGTCCTTTTCCTCCTTCTCACGAATGACCTACCTAGTTGGATTGGGGAAGATGGACACACCACCATGTACGCAGATGACACGGTTCTCACATTTGCGGACAAAACAATGGAAAATCTGGAAGAGAAAACCAACACACAACTCCAGAGAACAAAGCAATACTGTACCTCCAACGACCTAGTTCTAAACGAAAGCAAAACCGTTCAAATGACTTTCACCACCAAACGCAACAACACAGACATTACAATACCGGGACTACAAACACAAAACACCACAAAATACCTAGGCATCATAATTGACTCCAAGCTATCATGGAAACCCCACATAGACCAGCTCTGCAAAAAGCTAAGTTCAAGTCTCTACGTTATACGTAGGATCAAGCAAGCTTGCAGCCCAGAAGTAGCCAAAGTTGCATATTTTGCTCTATTCGAGTCCCACCTCAGATATGGCATTGCGACTTGGGGTGGAACATCAAAAGGCAACCTGGAAAGAGCTCCTAAAGCAAAAAAGAGCAATTAGATGCCTTGCCGACCTGAACTACAGAGACAGTTGCCGAGAAGCCTTCAAGAACCTTAAAATTCTCACATCAATTTCACTCTACATAAGAGAAGTCATTATCCACACCACTAAAACAGCCCAGCCAAGACACAGAGACATACACCAGCACAACACACGACATGCCGCCAATTTTTCCCTCCCACAACACCATCTGAGTCTGTACGAGAAGAAACCATCCTACAAAGGTGCTCTGTACTTTAACAACCTACCAGAGCACCTCAAGAGAGAACAACCCAATCTGCTCAAGAAGCACCTGACAACATGGCTTATGGACCGGCCGTTCTACTCTGAGGATGAATTCTTAAACAATAAGCTACCATGAAAAAAAGAAGAAAAAGAAGAAAAAAATTCTAATTGTAATTGCAAATTACTGTAATAGTTTACGTACATACTGTACATTTTATGTACCTGACGCATGAATGTTCTCTAGGAATATTTCAATAAAGATTTTGTCTATTGTCTATTGTCTATTGTCTATTCAGTTTATGTGGCTTATTTGTCAAGGGTGCACTTTTTCATGGAAAACTACGTCTGTCTAAAAACAAAGCCATCAAAACCAAAATCGTTTATAGCCATATTATTACTTCAAACATAGTGCTCAAATAGGTCATGTAAAATTGTAAAAACATAAATAACCCAACATTATATTTTGTAAAGGTTAATATTATCTCAAATGTAGACCCACATCTATTCCTGAAGTAAGGACCCATTCTTAAATCAACGATGCACTTACCACGTAGAATTTCTCATATTTCGCATAACTGTATGTTGTGTACCTCAATAAGTGGGATTCGAGAGGGATTCAGTGGGAAAAAATGCTTCGCACGGGTCGGCTAGTTAGGTAATATTTCAACATTTTCCAACTTATTTAAAAAAATTTAATTGCAGATTTTATTTATTCCTGTTTATGACAAAATAATGTGCTAAGATACCGTTAATAACTTCAGGTTTACTATTGAGAAGCTTTGTGCATGGACAATAATAAAACAAATGTCCCACAACATACTCATAAACAAAACATACTGTACACCTTATCAAAACGGTATATTTAATCATTCAACCTTGCTGGGACCGGTTTGTGTCAAGTAATTGAAACTACCATGAATATATTATTCATTGTGTGTTCTGTAAGAGGTGAACGAGTAAGTTTACCGAATGGTTTGCGAGGCCGAGGATAGTAGTAGCTGTTCGTCGGAGAGGTAGGTCTGCTGTAAGTTCTCCCAGTCTGCTGATATCTTTGACTCTGGCTAGGATAGATCCTCTCCTCCTTAGACACTGCTACACCTATAACAGAGCATTAGTCTTTACTTATAGCTTCTAATTATCACAACAGCAGTTGATTGGCTTGTTTTCCATTATTTATAGTCTGTATGATGGAACATGTCTCCATCTCCGTTAACCTGGGGACTGGCCAATGGTACAATCCGGACCAATCCCAGGTAGACAGAGGGTAAGGAGACAGGTTCCATCACATAGACTATAGTCAGTATCGCTATCATTATCATTATCATTACTTCGAAACAGTAACACACACCTAAGGTGCGTGTACTTTAAACTGAGTAAAGCAAGTTGAGTATAGGATAAGCAGTTTATAGACTGGGAAGAGACGATAAGTTGCTGGCTGCAACGCAAGTGATTGCCAGATGAACTAATTCACTACCAGGTGTCAGTGCATACTGAGTGTTTGACAGCTAGTAGTGAACCTGTTATGGTGAATGCTCAAAATTGTACAGTAATAGGACTGATTCGCAACAATCGGACAGCTGTTAAAAAAAATCAGGTGATCTCTAAGAGAAAAAAATCAAGCAATATCTTAGATATCACATGATTTTTTTTAATTAGCTGTCCCCTATTGTGGCCTGTGTAACCAATAAACATGCGTTTTATATGCGTATGGTTTAAATTTGTAAGTTGCTTGCAATAGCTTCCGAGTTTTGGGGGGTATATATTTGCAATTTCAAGAAAAATACAGGTTATTCTGTAAAAATTAAACTTTTTCAAAAAAGTAGCCACCATTTTGAAACGGCTAAAGATAATTTATTTCTGTTTTCACCAAAATGTTTATTTTTAATTTGACTTTAAAATTATGTATAAAATGATATATGTTTGTAATTGATATTTCCGGTATTTGAAATAGTGACCCTGTAGTGACAAACTGTATTCAAAAAACATTTAAAATATTTTTATGTTATTCCTTGGGGTTGATTTAGTGGAAAATAATTTTATTTCATCATTGTAGAACCAACGGTTTGTCTGAAATCAATTTGAGACACTTACATGAGCCACCCTGTAAATACCACCATAAAACCATTAGTTTATCTGACTGATAGTTGATCATTCTTGGTTAGAAAGGATGCCCAAACTACATTCACAAAGATGATGACCTTATTCTAAGGTCATATTTCTGAAGAGCACCATTAATTAACTGTGTAGCAGAGCAGGTGAATGTTCAATACAAATGATTAATTGTCTGTCATAACCTGACATTAAACCTTCAACCTTGATCCTCAGAATTTTATTAAACTACTATCTTACTTAGGCCCTTTCACTTTGAAATAAGGAGGAATATAGAATGTGATCGTATGTGTTATGTGTAGCAACTCAATCATAACGGAGTAAGTTATCAAATTTTGCTGCCAGAGCCAAATATAACAAAATTCACTGTACGTTTTTAAGCTATAAATGAATTAGGTTGTTGTCAATGTTTATGTAAAACCATAGATAAAACATACTCCCAAAACTTAAAGGAATGTTGACAACTGATCTGTAAAAATGGAAAACCAAGATTAAAATTTTATAAAAGTAGACCCACTGTATTTTGTGAATTAAGGTAAGTTGTGTACATGCTACTTAAATGAAACACATTCACTTTACTTAACAGACATTTAAAATATTTATTGATATTTTTTTGTCATTTTTCTGAACTACAAAAGTGCATATTTTCAAACTCTCAAACATTTGTATTTCAATCAGAAAGTCATTCACAGGTATGAAACCCGAAATTAAAATATATTTAGACTCCCCAGACACCGTTTGACCCTATATGAAAAAAAGTCCATTGTATGCTGGGCTGAGATTGTCTAATGTGCTTCCATCATGCAACAATTCATGGAACAAACAAAATTTAAAGAGACAATAGATTTACTTTTTCACAAGGCTTTTTACTTTTGAAGACTTTTCTACAAATTTAATTCAGAATTTTTTTTTATATTAAGAGTTTAGTTTAAAGTTTTTTTTTATGTTTAATGTTTTATGAATGGATTTATTTTGACAATGCACCTATTCTAAATGTATGTTCAAAGACATGTATAGAATGTTTTGTGCAAATAAAGAATGTCTATTATATCAATTACGATATAATAATTGAGTTTACATTTAAAACAACTACACATACATTGAGACTACAGTACATTAAGTTGGATATATTTTGATTGCTTTAGAAACCAAAATTGTATTTTAAAATTATCATATCCATTGGAAAAATTCCCCAGGTAATAATTCACAAATGTACCTGTATTACTGTTAATCTTCAGGTTCGTTTTAATTGAAATTCAATACCAGAAGATCATTTGCATATTGTGGTCTAATGGCAAACCACTAGGCTACTCTGACCTAATTAGACGAATTATTACATATCGATCTGGCATAAATTTGGTGTTACCATACAGCACTACAGCAGAATCAGTTGTATTTTAAACTGTAAATAGAGCTCGTCCCGTGGTCGAAAACTCGACCAAAAGTATGTATTATGCAAAACAAACTTCTCTATTTGCACTCCACTCTGTAAATAAAACACGTGATTGGGATTTCTACCATTTATTTTTTTTCTGTTTATATTTTGTTGCTATTTTTTCCAACAATGTATTTATTTTATCCCCTATTGCATGTATTTTATCCTATGACATTACATGTTAACTGACGCTGAATTTGAGAAATAAAATCATAAATCGTACATTAACTGATAAGGTTTCATTTGGTCAAAATAGTTGGAAAATGGGATAAAAAACATAACACATATGTTTATTTATATCAAAATAAAAGTGCGTTTTATAGATTTAAACATAGTAGGACTGTTCAAATGGCTTTATCTTCTATCGTGAGAACTTAACTTGCTATTTTAAATTTCGCGCTTTTACGCACTGTTCTCTAACTGAACTTCGATCAGCAACGCGACCTAGCGGATTTCGTTAGAACTAAGTGTCGGTAACATAGATTGAATATTTAGGTGATTTCAAGAATAAAGAATATGAAATAAACGTCAACCATTCTAAATAGTCTTACAAAGGTGAAGAAAATATGATTAATATTAGGTATTTAACAAGTCCAACTACATAGGAAACGTATGTTTTCATTAACTCGACGAGAAACAATTAAGTTCTCGCTATGAAGATGAGTACCACCGTTCCAATATAAACCCAAGTGTTGCATTGTTCTAGTACCTATTGACGATCGGGGGATCTTGGGTGTGCCTAATGAGCTAAAACTCAGAGGGGATGCCTGGGTGAAACCGGTCTTTTTATTGTACATTGGGCCGCCACTGTATAACCGTATTTACTCTGTGAACCTAAAAATATTTTTTGTCCCGTGGTTGAAAACTCAGCCAAAATTATGTATTGTACCATAGACTAAAAAAAGGGAGTATGTTTGATCTATGATTGTACCTTTTTGATCTATGATTGTACCTTGTAAATAGAACATGTGATTGGAATTTCTTCCATTTGTTTTGATTTTCTGTTTAGGCCTATATTTTGTTATTATTTCGTCACCAACATGCCAACCGATAAGGCCCATGTTAATTTTGTTTTAATTTAAATTCATATGTAGTGCTTATTTTTGAGCCTATTTTAATTTATAAAGGGATTCTGTACATCTACAGGCAAATATCTTTCTGACAGTATGCGTAGATTTTCCCTGCGATGCACAGGAGCTGAGAAAAAAGGTTTTCAATAAACATACGCTTGCCTATTAATATATAGAATTATCCCCGTGTTAAATCTCCATAAGAAAAGTTTAATATCCATTTTTGACCCAATTAACATAAATATTTTCAAAATACAAAATAAACCTGCACAATAGGACCGATAACCTTTCTTTTGGTACAGCCTTCGTGTTATTCGGTCCAGTAATATATGGTCAGGCTAGCTGTCATAAGTTTTGCAAAAGTTGTTTAATTTATAAGATAACCTACAAACATTTTAAGTACCGGTATTAATTTACTCTCTTGTTAGTTTTGCCTTCAGGAATTTTCCCTACTTTCTTTGCAACAATAACATTCAAAAGTCCCATGCAATTAAAAAGAATTGTTTAAAATCAGCTGCTTGCAACTCAATAAAATTGGAAAATAATGTTTTAACAATGGAATTAAATAAATAGCTTATTCCCTATATGGGAAATTCGCTAAAAGAACTTTCATGTTTATTTTAAAAACTTGTTTTTGTCTTAATATAAACAACAAACGGTACTTCTATTTTATTGTTTGATTCTGAGAAAATTTATGAAACTACGTTTAAATATATTTTGTGAATTTTCAACCTAGGCTATTTATTTAAGTTATATGCTTAGCGATTTGTTGTAAATAGAAAGCAATTTGACAAGTAATTGTTACTTAAATTATTATTCTCCATAGAGTAGTTGTATTTCTGTTTGGGACACTAATATCATGTAATCCTAAAACATCTACAACAAAATTACAATTAATTGTTTTATTTCATCATACTGTTTTAGCAAAATACAAGTAAAAATCATGAAGATATCTTATGACTACTAAAATAGGTCTTATTTCATCTTACCATTATTTGACTTGTAACTACCGTACTAAAAAAAATCGTACTCTAAAACATGTCAAATAAACTTATTGGAGGTAGTTTACATTTGATTCCACCATACCTCTAGTATTTATATGCAGATTATGCGTGTATCCATGTGGAGGGGTCAGGAACTTGACAAATACTTGAGCACAACTCCCACAATGCACCACTGCACAGAGCAAAGCCAGGTAGATCTGTAAAAATATACGGTATCAATCTGAAACATACTTTCTCCCATTAGTTTGTTAACAATTTTTTTAATCGGGAAGGAGTAACAAAAATATTTTATGGGGGGAATCACAAATGCTGCAAGGCCTTTTTATTGTAATTTTACAGCAATATCATCATTGTACCATTTTGTTTAGAATTATTAGGACCATAACATACTAAATTTCAATCAAAATCGGTCGAGCCGTTTCAAATTAATCTTTTCGTTATTTTATTTGTGTTTATGGGCAAATTGGTGATTGCTGTGGTACTTATAGATAAGATGTGATGTTTTCTGAGAGAAAGCGTTATTTTTGCCATGCGCTTCAGTACACAAAAGTCAATGATGACGAAAAGTATAAAACATACATAAGCAAAGCTGTCAATTTTGTGATTATGTGTAGTTTGAGCACTAAAAATAAACAAAACCTAACCTAAATCTCTGGTGTCAATCATCTCTACGTTTAGTTGCAAAAGTTAGCCCAAGGACTCCAAGTAAAGTTATTTTTGTTTCACATGACTTTTATGCAATGTATGTATACCAGGTTATATGTTTGGTTAAATTTAGCTGCTGTTCTGGTAATTTAAACTTTAATGTAGGAAAAATTCATGACGATGGCCCTAGACAAGGTAATGATTTTTCAGAGTGAGAAGAAATTACAAAAGAAAAGAGTCTAACCCTTATGTCAAGGGAGCAATATTTTTCAATAAATTACCGAAATCAATAAAGGAACTGAAAGGTAAACAATTCAGAAATGTTATGAAATTTGTCTTATTAATAGTTGCCCAGTCAGCCTTGAGGATTTGGATTAAGTAAAGGTATGCCTATTGTGTGAGTAGGTGTTTTGCTTGCATAAGAAGTTTGTATAGTCGAATGCATGTTTTTTACACAAATCTGTAATTTTGCATGGTTTGCTTTGCATATGCATGATAAGTTACTTATTTATAAACATTGACGATGCAGTGCATGTTTTCCATGTTAAAAGCAAATAAAGACATTTCATCATTGAAATTAAAGCTACATAGTAGTGGTAAACAACTGGGAAAAGGCTCGATGTTTAATTCTTCCTCCCTGTCTTCCCGAGTTTGAAACCTATGTAACAGTGAAGGCGCATTGGAGTGTCACAGTAGCTGTCATAGATGTATAGAGGAAGCGCGCCTGCGCTGTGATGACGCAAGCGCTACAGATGCGCCGGTGAGGTAAGGCGCATGCGCACCTCCCACGACCTTATCACGTCTTATCATCTACGATCTGTCGCCCAGGTCCGGGACCGATGACTGGCGTTTCCACAAATCTGTCAAACGTGAAGGAGAAGTCACGACGTTATCACAACGGGCGAATATTGAATCACCATATTGTATTGGATCATATTGTATTGGTTCATATTGTATTGGATGAATCTATACTGACCCACCATTCATGGAATATCTGGTTATAGTGCTCCCCTTCCAGTCAGAAAGTTGCTAGTTCGATCATTGAGAAAAGTCAGTGACATTTTGATTGTTCGAAACAGGACCCCGCGATTTTGTTCCAGGCCGAAGGAACAGCTGATCAACACAACTATCATCTCGTCCATCTAAAATTCATCATTCACTCATCTCCACCTCAAAATACGCAAAGTGTGTCGACATCACATTAATCTAATAACGTTATTTGTGTTAAAATACGCCCAAATGTGAATTTGCCCGTCATTGAAAATGTACGGCAATGCCCCATTTTAATGGACAAAAACGTGAAACGCTCACGCTATTTATGTCACACTATGTTAATGACTTACTCTTCATGAATAATTTGGAGTTAAATCCAACTTAAGTAACTGTTAATTTTGTTGATGTGATCATTCATATTTTTTTACTTTCACTACTCTAACGGAGTCTGGACTCAAACTCTTCCGATTTTTCTACGATTTTCTACTCGTGTCGTTAACACTATCTTTACGCAATCGTTGTAAACTACTATAACAGCAGGTTGTTGTGTTATTTCATTGATTTTTCTTTGTTTGTAATTTGTTGTTTACAATTTGCATTTATGTGATTAAAGTGTGTTTGTTCTTTATGTTATGTGCGTGTTTCTACAATTATTGTGTGCTTAATCTGTATAGTGAGTAAAGTGGTTTATGGATTTCATAGCCATTATTTTTCTAGAAACCGTTGTATAACGGGCTCTGTTGCTACTATTTACAAGAAGTCTAGAATGTTTTCGTAGTTGTATCCAAAATCAACCGAACATAGCCTCCGAACAATTTCTTCGTTCATAATATTATGAGAATATCGGTACAGTTTTTTTAATTACAAAGAATATAAATCTGTGTTTTCTATAAATTTAGATTAATATTTTCACAGAATCATTTCACATTGGCCGCGAGTATTTTGTTGACGGCATTTTTGTTTACCATTCAGCACAAAAACATTTCGAAATTTAGTGTTGTTAGTTGAATCCAAGAAATGTAAAATTCGCCAACTCAAGTAATAACAAATTTAGGTACATTAATTGAACGCTCGCAGCAACGAAAACACTTTTACTAACGGACAACAATAACCCTGGAAGGTTAGTAACGTATCTCCCAGAGAGGTTGAACAATTCAACAATTCGGAATTGGTGAAATTAAAACTAAATTACTTTTCGTCATTTCGTGTTCCTTTTACACTGAAATGGAATAGCTTGAAAACGGGTTATCTGAATTGGACACCTGCCCCCTTAGTTACGTCAATACTTAATTGTGTTTTTGAGATAAAACACTCTCAGTACGAATTTCAAGCTGAATATGAATCCAGGATACAAAACAATTGATTGGGGCGGTGGCGTCGTCCTGTAATCCAACTACTATGAGGTCACGAATTGTGGATATTTATAGGCATTCACTGTGGATATGACACTCCCTGGTGTGGATAACGCCCGCACTAGTGAGTACTACGACTATCCGCAGTACTATCCTGATAATTAGACTAATTCGTTAATAACAAGGAAAAATGTGGTTCGGATTCCCCTATACACTGTAGGTCCCTTAGTTGCCATTACCTGCATGGGCTATTAATTAACAGCTGTGTCTAAGGAATAAGTCGGACTTAGTCACTAACAAGACTACAAGATCGCGCCACTCATCCTACACTCATCCTTCACTCATATTTGGGTTAAAATACGCACATGGTGGCGAACCCATCTTAAATAATTGATTAATTGATTGATTGATTGAGATAGGTAGCCTAAGAAGTGTTGTCCCTGACTAAGATCAACTTTTAATTTATAAGAAGACTCAATTTGTTGTGATTGCTGATAAGAAATAATTTAGTACATTTTATGTTTGTACACAATTTATGTTTATTTAATATCTCATTTAAATATATGCGTAACAATGAATTGTAACTGGTTCTAAGTTTGTTTTAGTGCTCACCTCTTTTACAAATAAGGTTTCCAATCTTTTTCGACCCACCTGTTGTTTATCACTCAGGATCACAGAAATAATTAACATTATACATCAATTCTTTTTTAGGTTGAGGGTTTCGTGAGATATTTTGTACAGAATGTGTTTTTTTTTTTTATGGAACGTTCAAATTTGCAGGAAAAACTTCCAGACAGTGCAACTTTTTAAAAGAAAATAACCAATCGACACACGGTAAATACAAATTTGAATTCGAATTTAAAATTTTACTCTGGTGAACATATTATTTTGATGTAGCCTAATCCAATAACATATTGACAGACCAAAAACAAAACACCGCTGCTTATTGCTTACGGAGACGAAACCATTATCAAGTGGATTATTAAGGTAAGTAATATATTTTTTATGTTTTTTTTAGTTGTACGTGTACTTTAACAATGCAATAAGTTCTATGAAATCAATAATTTAGCTTGACAGGATATAAAAACCAAACCCGCGCATACCTCTCACAAGTTTATCAATATTAGCACTGTATTTTCTAACAGTAAAGCTTGTGAATACTCTTTAATTTAAATTTTTAATAGAACATCATCAACTAACCCCTAAAAACTAAAAACACAAAAATGTGTTTTCCAAAGTTTACTCACCAAATTCATGGTTCCTCCCCGGGTCACAACACTGTTGAACTGTTCTAATTGCGATACAGATGGCACTGAGACCAGCTGATCGTCTTGTGCATGCGTACAGCGCGGGGAGTGAAAGGTTCGCGCACACGCTGTGGGGATGCTCCCGACTATAGCTAGCGCACCGTGACTTGGCCACTCCGGCCACTAATGTCTATACCTCTCGCCACCCTAAGTTGAGGCAGCCCAGACGGACGGGCAGGGTCATTATCGGCCGGTCCCGCCCGACCCTTTATAATCCGATTAGTGACACTTCCGTGAACGCTCTAGTTCCATAATTGTCATTAACAAAGTTAAAAACCGATGTATAAACATAGTCTTTTACATTAATAACGTCGATTTAACAAACATTTTCGTTTTTGTCCCATCATAATCGGACAATGTTTACGGTTTGTGAGCTAAACAAAGTAGTGTAGATCCCAAAATCCAAAAACCGTAAACATTGTCCGATTTTGATGGGACAAAAACGGAAATGTTTGTTAAATCGACGTTATTAATGTAAAAGACTAAATTTATACATCGGTTTTTAACTTTGTTAATGACAATTATGGAACTAGAGCGTTCACGGAAGTGTCACTAATCGGATTATAAAGGGTCGGGCGGGACCGGCCGATAATGACCCTGCCCGTCCGTCTGGGCTGCCTCAACTTAGGGTGGCGAGAGGTATAGAAGCTCATCAAGTCTCAGTCAGTACATCTAGCTCTATGACGTGTTGTTGTGAAAATACACCCGATATTATCGTCACCCTCTTTTTCATCAACCGCATGGTTTGTCCAGGTGCCAAGTTACATCGCACATACTATAGCCACCGCTTGCGACAGGTTTGATCTGTTTTTGATGTTGAATATTTCACTTTCACTAGTTATTGTCCCAGATGGAATCTTGATAGCGACACAAATACCAAGGTCTCGCCATAGGTTAATATCGCATATCGTATGAATTGATTATCCGGTCGTTTAAGACTGTAAGCGGATTTTAATGTGGATTAGAGGTCGGCAGATGTTTACAGTGGATTGTGGTTTAAAGGTCGAATAAATAATATCGTCGTTTAAACTGCTTAATTTTTGTGCAATTTGGTTCATTTACGTCTTTCAATGCTGATGCTTCAAAGGGCTAGAATAGTATACTTAAAGGGTTATTCCTGATCATCCTTGTTTTTGCCATACAATTGATACAAAAATATTATTAGGGAGGAAACAGCAAGTCCCGAAATATGTAGTTTTGTCAAATTATATAACAACATTCAATGGCATACAATTCCCTTGCCTTGTGGTTTCCAACAAGAAATTTCAAAACAAGGAGTTTTCGTGTGGGTTTTGTGTAAGAATATCTCCAGCATATTGGCTGTTCTCTTTGTATAAAATACCTATATTATTGCACTTTTATTGACACCAACTTTCATCCTTGATCGTTGGTTAACGATCACATCTTGTCATTATCAAACATTGAAAATTGTAAAAATTAATTATTGTGCTAAACTACATGCTAAATACTATAATTACGTGATTTAGACACATATATATATATATATAGAGTAAAAATATTTAAGACTACGCAAATTTTAAATTTATTTTTAATGAAAATGAGAATCGTGGTCGTCCGCAGAAATTCTCTTCAATGAAATTTTCTTAGAATGACCTGTCAAAATTATTTTGCTCTCTTAGTCTTTGAGTACATGGGACCGAGCTTTGCTCGGGGAACTTTATTAGTATACTCTTAGAGTATTCTTTGGTCAATATCATCTGTCCCAAAAACATTGTTTTCAGGCTAACTTCTGTTAAAATAATAATATTGATTTTGACTGAAATAATGAGGAAAAGGAGTTTTTAAAAATTTGTTTGGAGCCCCTAAATAACCTAAACTATTGAAAATACCCAGTATTTGTCACGCTAAATTCGGAAAAGGCTATCAGTAGAAAAAAATCTTTACCTTCCTTCCCTTGAAGTATTAGTAGCCTATTAGTCACTGCAAGAACTTGGGTTCGCTTCAAAACAACAAACGGAACCTTTCATTTAACCATATTTGTTCCTAAATGTAATACAATTTTCTGGAAACTCAGGACTTTTCCTTAAAAAAATTACAAAGCGTGTTGTCATGTTTATTATTATAGCCATACTAAAATATGACACAGATACCAAGTTGTGATTTAGTAAAGATCGTCATATTTTCTTACCTTTAAGTGAACTGTTAAACTAACAGTGATGCCAAGTAGGTTAACAGGGAGATAAATAACTGAACGTTCTGACGCAACTTTGTTGTGATGGTTGACAGTCTGCAGTGCTCGGTACTTGAGAAAAATTACCTTAACTGTTATTCATGCTTACTCATTCCTATAGAGAGACCAAGGAAGTCGCAAGTCTAGGCTGTTTATGTAACAATTTTAAACTGTGCAATACTCCGTGTAGACTAGTAAAATAGCCGAACTTTTTTTGGAGGAGCATTAAAATATGATCGTCAATACACTACAAATGCACTTTTTTGAATCAGTTGTTGCAATTATGAACAAAATACTTACTGTGGTATTTTGTTCATAATTGCAACAACCGATTGTTGAATTGTTGACAACCTGCATGAAATTTTTGAGTCATCAATTTAATATTTGCTAAATTAATCCAAAATTAACATAGTGTCAGATTTTTGGTTTATACATTTTTGTAGACAGTTTTATTTTAACTGCTTAGAAAAACACAAGCATTGTTGTAAGATGACGATAAGGATTTTGCCCGTCTTTTCTTAATAATATGGATTCAAACAATTTCCAAAATGTTAACACTTACCCTCGATTGGTTGACTACCTCGGGCGCCTCAATATGGGGGTTTTAATTCTCTAAAGATTAAAGAATGAAAGAAAGCTTGTTTACATATACAAGTTAATATGTTTACAGTATTACTTTTTAACAGATTACAGAATATGGATTATTAAAGGACATTTGGATAATATTGAGCAACGACTGCTTCAAGGGTTTACTTTTTTTAGCAATGCTCGGCTCCCTAGTACTTTGTTTTAAAATTAATAAACGCTGCATCTAAATACATTAAAACTCATGCTTCGCCCCTAAAACACCAACAATATAATATATAGTCCAGTCAAGGAATGAGGTGTAGAGTGCGTGAGTTGGTAACTAAGCGATTCCTTCAGAAACTTGTTCAGGGGGCTTAGGGTGTTAACATACCAAAAGTCCTGACTCCTAGGTGGTGAGCCAGTGGGTGGAGGGGGGAAAAAGGGGGGGAGAAAGGTACGCATTTTGGGTTTTTTGATTATATCTCGAAAACTATCAACTTTTTGTATACTATAGTAAGTTATAAAATTGATGAAGATTAAATATTCTACAAGAAAAGTATATAATGTGTTTATTTTGGTTCAACAGATTACGAGTTATAACTTATTTAATTAATATCTTATCAAAATACTCTTTCCATAAGAAATACATGTAAATTAGTATGTGAAATGGGGTGAATCCTATCCGCCCAAAGGAAATATAACTGATATTCTGGAAATCTTGACAAAATTTCCAGTAATTTGACACTTTAATCATTAAAATTGATCCAAAATTAAGGCGAGGGCGAGGTAACAAAATGTCGAGTTTTGGTGTTTTTTTTATTGGAAATATAAAAAAAAACCTCAAATCATCCCGTTTTTAAACGCTCACCCTCGCTTTAATCTTTGACAAAATTTCATGATTAAAGTGTCAAATTACTGGAAATTTTGTCAAGATTTCCAGAATATCAGTTATATTTCCTTTGGGCGGATAGGATTCGCTCCATTTCGCATACTAATTTACATGCATTTCTTATGGAAGGAGTATTTTGATAAGATATTAATTAAATAAGTTATAACTCGTAATCTGTTGAACCAAAATAAACACATTATATACTTTTCTTGTACAAAATTTAATCTTCTTCAATTTTATAATTTACTATAGTATACAAAAAGTTGATAGTTTTTGAGATATAATCAAAAAACCCAAAATGCGTACCTTTCTCCCCCCCTTTTTCCCCCCTCCCCCCCCTGGCTCACCACCTAGGAGTCAGGACTTTTGGTATGTTAACACCCTAAGCCCCCTGAACAAGTTTCTGAAGGAATCGCTTAGTTACCTGCTCACGCACTCTACGCCTACTTTTGGATCATTCATTGACTGGACTAATAGTACACGTACGCAAGTGTTGTGATTTTTAAATGGGGTCGAATTCTTATGTTGGTAACATTGTTTGGAATTTTTAAATTTATATCAGCTGATCCGTAACCTTGTTGTCAAAATACAAATTAAACTATTATCGATCCTACGAAAAAACTTAGTCCAAGGAAATAGTATTTCGTTTCGACAACGATAGTTGGATTCAAGCACAATGACTGATGAAACCGAAAAGAAATCAGAACGACATAAATCACTTTTGTCCAAGTATGAAATACCTATCGACCATTTAAGTTATGAATATATTCAAGGCTGCAACGATATAAGAGAACTTGAGAGAATCGTGAAGATTTTGAAGTCTGGAGAGGAAGGATATTTTCCCGACTTGCTCAGGTCCACTGAAGATCGTTTACGGGTGTTTAGTCCCAACAACCGGCATCTTCGTACTGAAACACCAGCTTTGGATAGGAGTTATTTCGACAAGAATGAATGGAGAAGCATCATGGACGAGGTAGACACTTGGAGGAAGGATGTTACTGAGAAGGATAAACAGTTATGTTGCAAGATTACTCGTGACGTGTCCGAAATTAGTATGCCTCCGATTAGACAACAAACACAAACACAATCCATTCGCGTTTCGGAAAATCAGCCGAAACAAATAAAAAAAGTGAACGATTATTCTCTTTGGGATAAGTACGACGTTGACACGGAACTTCTCAAAATGGATATTGAAGAAGAGAAGAAATATTTTATTGCAATAAAGAAGCCTACACAAAAGGAACCTGATAGATTGAACCTTATTGAGGAAGAAGCACAAATTTATTCAAATGCCGAGAAAGAAATTTTAGCAGAACATGAGAATCTGAGGGGTAACGAATTTTATCAGGCAAAAGACTACGAAGAAGCTGAGAAATACTACACAGCTTCTTTAGCGATACATCCAACAGCCAAAACCTTCAATAATAGAGCTAGCTGTAGGTTGAAACTGGCGAAATATTCAGAAGCTATCGAAGATGCTGATAAAACCCTTGAACTAGAAGCTAACAACATCAAAGCACTCTATAGAAAAGGCATCGCCTTGAAACACCTGAATAAGTACCAAGAAGCTCTGCAAATCATGAAATGTATTTTAAACCTGGATCCGAACGTTTCACAGGCTCAAACTGTGGCCAATCAACTCTCAGAAAAGATCAGATTGGAAACAAAAGACATTGTTGGTTTACAGAAATCTAATCTTGTGGAGAGACAAAAATGTGTTGATAAGCATAGTCCAGAGTGCTTCAACAATCCAAGTTTCAAAGAGCCCGTGAACGAATGGGGACTACCAAAAATGTTTTGCAACTCCAGTGGATGTTGTAACAAAAATAATTCTAAATGTAAAAACTATTTAGGCGTGCACGAAAGAGCAAACGCATTTGGTGAATGTTCCAGTAGTTATGAAAATATTTTTGAAAAACAACAATCTTCTCTATTCAGTAAACACACCATTCAAAGTTTTAAAGAAGAGAAGAAAAAGAACGATGCTGTCAAAATAGTTGAACTTCCTGAAGAGAGTGTGCCTAAAGTACCGAAAAGGATGACGAAGATGGAAATAATTGAGATGGATTCATCTCAAAATGATCCACATGAAGATGTGATTCACAGCCAACCGATGAAGTGCAGAGTTGTTGATAAAAGGAGCCAAAAATCAATATTCAAAAATCAAACTAGTGATAAGTAATAAATTCGGTTTGAAAACAGAAAGGAATTATTTATAATGCGTATTGAATTGCACCTAGAATCAAATCTAATCTAATCTATAGTAAGTTGTTGCTGATTTTTATTAGGAAATATGCATAATGTCTGAACTTATCAAGTAGTTTGTGAATTGTATTAATGTTTACCTTCTTTCCCAATAAGCTATTTTTACCCTATATATTAGTTTTAATATTTAATTTTCTGCGTTACCAATACATTTTTCCCACATTTAAGGTTTACCACCAATGTTGAACTAATCATAACCATAGATTAACATTGTGCTAGCTATTTCTTACATCTCAGAGATATGCCGCTCTTTTTTGACTAGAAGAATAAAAATAATCCTTACTACACAAATCACCAATTCAGGGAGCACAGGGTAACCTCAAACAATTAAATCACCACCCACATCCAGCTAGATAAATATGATTACATTCACCGATCGTACTTGTGAAAAGTGGAAACACCTGGTAACTTTGCGCACCTGCACTGATTATTGCTTAATTTCCCCGTCATTACAAATACTCAAACATAAGTTTGATCATATACAAATAGAATTGTTTGATTAAGCGATTGTATCCACTACCTCACTATTTCAAATTACTATTTCAGATCATCATCCTCACGTAAAATACAAACAATTATTTTTTAAATTGTTGATTCAATCTTCATTTAAATTTACACATTAAAACATTTAGGCCATTAAAAGACTTTAGCAACCCAGCAGACGCTCAGGCAGAGTCTGTCTATGTCTGCTGATTCCACAGACCGATCGTAACCAGCTAAAAAATATAAAGTATATTATGTTAGTTATTTTTACATCATTCAACCACTTCATTTTTAGCATCATTCTGTTTTCTTAATAATTTCATGTTTTTAAAACTTGATAGTATTAGTAAATACGTTAAACATTTCTAGGCTACTATGTAGCAAATTTAATCAAATAAACCATTTATTCATTTATTATTTGATCCCGAATCAGTTGGGACGAGACATTGTATTTAGTCTACTTTACCACGTAACTACTCAAGATACGAGGTATGTTATAATTAACCGTAACTATCCACAACATTCACTATTTGCTGGTCTAGATCGTGTAGACGTAGTCGAGGACGTCTCCCAGCGGATTGGTTTATTAGAGGCAATGAGCCTCGCAAGGCCCCGGGCCCTCACGCCTCACGAGGGCCTCAAGAAAGCCTCGCTGAGGGCACTCGGTCTCTTGGATGCGCGTTTCTCTAATCTCCATCAGGAAGAACTCAAGTATTTGCTCGCGCATCTCTGCCAGCTGTTTAAGCTTTGATTATTACCGAGCTGGTGAATGTATTTGCATCAGGTTTGTTGGTTTCCTAACAGCACATTTGTCGTAACTGAGTAGGCATGTAGTTATTTGATTTTTTCTAGTTCAAAACGTGCTGGGTTGGGTGACGGTGACGGTATGTATAGACAGTGTCTCAATTAGGCTAGGTTTTTAGCGTTTCTTATATTGACTGGGACCGTGGCGTCGTCCTGTAATGCAACAACATGGAGATCACGAATTGTGGATATTTATAGGCGTAAACTGTGAATGTGATACTCCCCGGTGTGGATTATCACTAGTAATTTGGATTATCCCTAATGCAGCCAAATTAATGAGGCTCGGATTCTAATATAAACTGAATCTCCCTTAGTTACCATTAGCTGTATGGGCTATTAATTAACAGCTGTGTCTAAGGAACAAGTCTGCCTTAGTCACTAACAATACTAGAAGATCGCGCCCCTCATCCTACACTCATTTCCATTCATACTTGGCTTAAATTGCCTACTTTGTATGGTTGCCATTTCATTAAAAAGTATTATAAGTATTAGATGCCATTGGCTGTATGGGCAATTAATTCATTAACAACTGTATTTTAGGAACATGTCGACCTTAGTCACCAACAAGACTAATAGCGTACCACTTATCCTACACTCATCTCCATTCATACTTGGCTTAATATACCTACAATCGTATGGTCGCCATAAAGGTAATGGTATGTAAGTATCAGTGTCCCAATAGCTGGTTTGACAGGAGTCGTAATTATTAGAACTAACTTTAACCAACAATTAAATAGTTAACCATAAACCTGGATGAGGAGCATATATTATACAGTGTTTAACGACCCCTTAAAAACTAACAGGCCACGATATTACTATGACAGCTCCTTATATCATTTGAGGTAACAAAACCTCACATAAGATATGGGGGTACATGTAGGAATATCGAATGGATAGTGTTCGCGGGAGGGCTGGAACTGCACTCACGGTCAGTCCCTGGTCCTAATCCAACTACGGAACTGCACTCACGGTCACTTTGAGCCTTTCTGGGGGTACCAGAACTGCACTCACGGTCAGTTTTTAACTAGCCTATATCACATTGTGCAACACCATGATTGAATTGATTAAAACTTATTAAATTAGTTGAAATTTATTGAAAAGTTTTGATTAAATTAATCTAAACGTCAAAAAATAAACTTACTACTGACATTGTAAAAAATACACATGTGTACAGAAAATTCTAGCATAGTATTTACGATAACATGATAGGCTATATTCTTATTATAACGAAGCTTCTTTTGTAAAGGTTAGGTTAGGTTAGTTATTGCTGTATTTATTGGGACAGACACTAAAACGTGTATTAAATAAAGTATTGGATAAAGTAAGACAGAGGACGGAATAAACAGATGACTAAGGGGCTAGCGAAGCGTTCAGCCGTGAAAGACCGATTTTTGACCGTGAGTGCAGTTCCATATGGCTTAGGCGGGCTACCCTTCCAACCCTTGTAAATTCCTTTGACCGTGAGTGCAGTTCGTTGTCAGCCGTGTTCGCATTTGGACGCTACACTGGGTGGGCATTAGTTGCGCCCAACGAACTATGTTGCGCCTTCCTTCTTCTAAGTTACAGTCACCTTGTCACCGGTTCCTGGAACCGTTCCACATTTGTAACACTAAGAACCAACAGAAATTACAGGTGTTTATACCAACTAACACCTAAATATAAAGGGATTGACAAGGAAACGGCAAATAAACTTCGAAATATATAGGATCAAAAACACAACCCTGAGGTACACCATAATTTTACCAGTCTCATAGCACGAGTCAAAGGTGGTCAAAGCCACCTATAATTCCTATCAAAGTTGTAATTGAACTACAGCATGTAGTCTTCGCCGATTCTCAGCGGAACTACCTTCCCTCTTCCAAGTCGCTGTGACCTTGTCACTGGTTCCTGGAACGGTTCCACATGTGTAACACGTTGCGGGGACGTTAAGCAACTCCACTCACGAGCATAATAACTTCATTGAGACGTGTTGCTCTGCTTTGTAGCTGTCTCACGACTAAAGGTTGCGATAGGCCTAATACAACCACACCACAGTACTCTACGCTCTTGGGCCGACCTCGACATTTCTGGTGGAAACTAACTGTTCCAAGGTCATGTTTACATTTGCTGCACATTTATTTTCAACGATTGTTCTAGATTAATACGTTGAAAACATGTGAAATTAGATCCATCAAAAGATAACATGACGGATCTGTGTTCCTGTTTGCAGGTGTTCGATTGAATTGTGTAAATACAGTAGCTTGATTGCAGACAGTAAGGAGAATGTCACATTCAAATCTTACGTAACGATAGTAAATCCACGGGTTTTAATAACTGATTCTTAAATGATGGTCCTAAAGAATCAGCTCGGTCAGAAACCTACGCACAACGCATCCAATCCACACTCAACTCATTTAAGAATACAATTTAAAGTTTCCAATTGCTTAAGATGTAGACTATCATACACCGCACACCAAGATATATAGTATATATATATATATATATATATATCAGTAACAAGGTATTACCCTGCCGCAGCAAACCTGCAGACGCGAATTACCATTTGCCTCATTGGATTTGGACACTTTTGACTTAAATAATTCCTTAAATATGTAAGATACATCCCCTATTAAAAAAAAGATACACAAGGATTGCTGCAGGGGAGGTAATAAGATGTGTTTTAGTGAAATGTTAGTAGCTAAGGATGGATTAAACCTATTTGTCAAATTTGATCAGAATGTATTCATAAGCAAGCAAACTACAACAGTTTACTTATTCCCCACAAGAATAACATGAATATTAAATTTAGTCTGCTGGGATATTCTCTGTAACCATTATACGTAAAACAATGCGTTAATGTAATAAATTATTTGTGTTTTTAAGCTCCGAAAAATTGTTTTGAAAGAAATTGTCATATTATATGTTTTAGTGTGAAAATCGTGAAAACCTAGTGACCAAAAACACAATCGGTGATATAAAAATATTCAATTATATTTGATTAAAAATGCATTAGCAGTGTCGTCATTCCATATTGCACACAAAGACAATTTTAGGTCCGAATCATACATTCGTCTGCCATATTTGAATAGACATTATTGGATTGCAACAGGAAGAGGAGTATATTTTAGTATGGAAATGCTACGATTATACATTTGCTATCATTCTCAGTAGGTAACTTAGTACCTTAAACTTTTTGATCGGTTAATTGTACGATCAATCTTAAAAAGTAGTGCTCTGTTTTAAAATAACTAAAATCAAATGGATCAAAAATATAGTTTTATGTTGGGAATCTGCACAATAAGAAGATTGGCCGGTAAAATCTGTATCAGTTGCATCACCTGTGGCGCCTTCAAGAAGCTTGAAATGCAAACACGAATACCTCCATGTATAGCGTGCCGAGCTCGTAGTTTGAAGGCACAATCACTTCTGGGAAGTGTTTCTTTCCACGTTTCATCAACACGTTGTTTCAACTATCACGAGCTCGGTCCCCTCGTTATCTATATACATACACAATAGAATAAGAATAAGAATGCTTTATTGACGTTACACTGGTTTACATGCATGGCACAGTCAAGGAAATGTCTTAGAACTAAAAGGTTAGGTTTTAACTAAGGTTTAATTTAACATCATTTATAAAGTCTATTTCTCTAT